ATTGCCAACAACCAGCAGGTGCCATCACGTGGGGGTGAATCAGAGGTGCGAATCTTGCCGTCATTCAGTGTGGGTCAATATTGGCTTTTGTTGATTTTTATAAATTTGTGTTTTCACTGCAGCTTCTGGATCGTTTGGTCGATTGTGTGGTTTTTGGCTGCCCTCTCCCATGTGAAATTTGCAAGAACGGTCACATCGTTTACAGGCAAGTCTTTTTGTTCAGGTATGGCATGAGATGAGAGGAGGAGACATCGTTGCTCAAAGTGAAGCAGTATCATCTCCTTTTTTGACCGATCATTTTTTTGGGTTGGCCGGTGTTTGATATCGAAAGCGTTTGTACTGCATCGTTTTATTTAGCACTAAGGCATCCTTTTGTTAACTCCGGATGAATGTAATTGCAGCTACGGGCATGTGCGTTCGCCTTTTTCAGCTCCGTCTTGAGCAGTTGTTCCCTCCTCTTGTGCTCATTTTCAACAGCGATGCATCTGTCAGCGTTTGAGTTGTTCTCGTTTTTGAATTGCCTATAATTTCCGACAGACATTCGAGTTGGTCCTTCTATCGTTAGTGGATTACTGCAGGACAAGAGTTCTGCAGGAATTGATGAAGAGTGAGCATGTGTTTTTTCTTCAGTTCATCGGAACACAGATATGTTTGTCGTGGCTACATTTCCGAATATACGCACTGCTCGTATGCGTCTCATAACCCTCCTCGTCAGCCGTTTGTTGTTCCGGATGAAATGAAAGAAAAGAATACTACGCTTGGAGACTTCGAAAAGAAGGTCGTAAGATTGTCCATTTGAAATAACTGTTCGGAGAGGACCGCGTAGCCGCATTGTTGTGTGACTGTCTCTGGGTCCCAAGTTGGGTGCCTGTCGTAACTTCTGTTTGATGGGTCTTCGATTAACTCTCGGTGCTAGTGCTGGGTATTGTGAAAATGGGAATGACTTTAGCTGACTTTAACGACTGCAGAAATGCTGGAGAAGTGCGATGCATTATTCTCCGGAGGAATCAAAAAGGAAGTACAGGAGCGCGCGCTTGAATTTGCAGAGTGATTATCTGCTGGCGCAGCTGCCATCACAGCAGTAAAACTATGCTGCGCGACGTGTAGTAGTTCAGATTTGTATAAGTCAGGAACTGCAGCCGGTGGGGAATTGTTTGTCGTGTTATTTAGTGAGTTAAATTGGTTGGTCAA